AAAATATTGTTTTGAGTACGAAATTTGAGCTTGAACACATCATAGCAAACTGTGAGTTAGCTTTCTCGTCAATAAAAGATAAACTATAAAAATTATATAAAAAAACATAAGTGAATTAAAAATAAAAGGACACATTACGTAAGGGCAGACTTTAGAACATGCCGTGCAAAATTCCGAAATGTCGAATTTTCTGTCTAATGGTATCAAAACACTTTAAAAAGCAAAGGAAGCATAAGCTTACCTTCCTTGCAATGATGATAATGCCCGTGTTATTTTCTCTAGTTATAATTCTGCTGCGATATATACCAGAGATACCGAAAATTTCAAACAAGCTCAGATACGGCCGTTGAATATGAATTTTGGTGGCAAGCACTCATAGAGAAAATAAACAAGCGCCGCGAATTTATGATCCGCGAGGAAAAAACGTAAGTCAACGACACTAGATATATAGAGGGGTGAAAATTATAGATTATACTACTCGCTTATACAGTTTCAAGGGCAATGTGTTCATACCAAAAATAATGGTAGGCTATGCCCCAAACACAACAGCTGGCATACGCAAACTGGTTGATGGTGCCCTCAGTGTTATGTCTCTGACACCGATGCAGATCTCGAGCTTTAACGACTGCAACGAGCTGCGCATACGAGCGACCATGGAGCATTTTATTGCCAGCGTATGCTTTCACAATGTCGATGAGTCGCAGCATGGTCTGCCCATGCAGTTGCATTATTCGATACTGATGCCATCCGAATTGAGGCTCTATGAAGACACATGGATTGGCAATAATTGGAAAGTGAACCAAATGCTCGACATCCATCCTGCTAGTTTACATTCCCAGCAATACAACGCCCGTGTCCAACTATGTGCGTGAGGGGTTCATATCGCTTCAGTACTACATTGGCATTGAGTATCTGCAGCAGGCGTCCGGCCAACGCAAAGATACCACAAGTGCTGCTACGTACCTTTGGCCTTAATAACACTGTTAATGAGTTGATAAGCGAGGGCATCGATACGTGTGTATTGGTATTGCTGCTAGGATTCATGTTTCCCGTCACCATTCTAACAAAGGTACGTACATGTGTACATACATACATACATATATTCATACATATTTACATTCGCGCGTTGAGCGTTAATTATGACAATTATATCCATGCCATAAACACTTTTTCCACTGGAAAAATTTCATTTGTACGCAGACGTATCAATTTTCTCAAAAAGTACCATTTATTATTATTATAATTATTGTAGAGATTTCAGCGGCCTGTTTCTTATTTTTATGCAATTTTTTAGCTTAGGCCGGCTCTAAATTCTGGATTTTTTTGTGCTTAAAATCAAATACTGTCCATATATTTATATATCGTCAACAGCTAGGAACGCAACGTTCGCTTCATCAGCTCTGTTAGTATTTCATTTACTTTTCGGCTTTGAAATCAGTTTTGGTACAAAAAGGTACAAATTTACCTAGCTATCATTTCTGTTATCAAGTAGAAAAGAATTAAGTACCATTGATATGCGATATTAGTAATTATGAATTCGGCTACAAATTGGGACTTTTGTTATTGCCAAATCTGCTATAAAAATACCACTTTTTTCTATTTATATATAATACAAAGAGTCTTAACGCACACATAATATAAAATTGTTATAGGAAATAGTTGAGGAGCGTGAACTCTCATTTCATTATTCGCTGAATAGAAACAGTGTCGGAAGCCTTTGGCAGTTTGCGGCCTGGTATTTCAATGGGTTTTGCCTGCAGCTCATCTCCTGCTTGATATTCACCGTAGTGCTAAAGGTATGATATATTGTACCTTATGGATATTATGGATATTATCATTGAGATATAATCAAATTGTAGGTGGAGTGGAGCTTAAATTCATCAGTCTTCAAAAAGTGTCCATGGCATATCATTGCTGTTCTTCTTCTTTTCGTATGTGCTCTCTGTCGTGGCATTTCGGTGCTTCTGGCCGTAATGATACGCACCACAAAAATGGTGGTGATAATAATACCCACCTGCTGGATCGTGGCGACGCTGCCTTTGCTGACGGGCCAGTCGCTGGAATCCTCGTTGTCGAACAATATCTACTTGTGGTCTCGTATCTGTTGTGCAATGTGACAATGTGTCGCGGGCTGAAGCGATTGTTGAGCTTTGAGTATTATAATATTAGCAAATTGAGCGCCAAGCAATATCTGATGTCCACGCTGATGTCAAAGGATCTGACGCTGTTAATGCTCATTGGAATTTTTTATATCCAGACCGTATTCTATATGGTACTGGCAATGGTTCTCGACTGCAACGTATGCCCGTGGTCTGGTAAACTGATCAAATGTGTGCCATGCCAAAATCTGGCCATTAAGGCACGACGGTGGGTCAGACGACGACAACGGCGGAAAAGGAAAATTAGGGAACATCAGGAGGAGCTCAAGGAGAGCCTGTCGCGTCGCATTTCTGATTATACAGATAAACGTGAACGTTTACAAGAAACAGTGCAGCTGCTCAAGGAGCAGGCAAGCAAATTGGTGCCAACGAGAATAATGAATCAGCCGAGACGCAAATTTGATACAGATATTAGCACCGAATCAATGAGTTCCAACAAGCGAATCAGATGAAACTGTGCGCCCGGTCAATCAGCAGAATGTACTGGACAGACAACTGTTGGTCTGGCTAAGTAACTACGAAATGGAGAACAAGGGCATGCTCGAGAGCGATCCAAAGCGGATTTCCCAGAAATTCTACCTGCAGCAGGCGTCCAACGTGAACGAGCCGCTGGAGAGCAGCGGGGATACAGACAGCGAGGAGGAAGTGATGGGGAGAAGGGTCCGATTGTTATCGAATTTAATAACGTTTGGAAAAAGTTCAACAAAACCTTTGTGGTGCGAAAGTTTTCACTGAAAGTATATCAAAATGAGCTTTTGGTCCTGCTGGGCCACAATGCTGCCGGCCAAAACAACCATACTGAATATGGCCTGTGGTCATACGGAGCCCAGCCATGGCAGCATTCTACTTGACGGCTTTGATGTGTTCAAGCGACCAGCGCGTGCCTTCGAACACGTAGGCATATCCCTGCAAACCGTCAATCTCTTCAATGAGTTCACATTCGCCGAGCACATAGCCTACTTCCTGTCGACTGCGCGGCCTATCGGCCAGCCAGACGAAACATGATGTTAAATCATATTTGCACTCGTTGCATGCCGGCGATCTGGCCCACTTGCCCGTCGCAATGCTAACAAATGGACACAAACGACTCCTTCAGGTGCTATGCGCATTCGCCGGACGCACAAAAATCGTGCTGCTCGACAGGCCCATGGAGGGCGTGGACGCCGAAAAGCGACGCCCATTTCTATAACTTTGTGTTTCGCGAGAAATCCAATCGCACCATACTGATCACAACCAACTATCCGAATGTGGCCAGCAATCTGGGCGATCGCATTGGCATTTTGGTCAATGGCAAAACTGTTGTCTGCGGCAAGGAGATGCGTTTGCTACGCAGGAACCAGAATGTTCTATCGCTTGGTAAGTCATCCGAATTTCGAATTTATCGAGTTCCGAAACATTCTCTCATAAATATAAGATTTAATGGGGGACAGTTCTAGTTTATCAAGTAAAGTTTTTCTATGTGCAGGAATTTTTTCAACTCTTTTTAATTGAATATGCTTCTTTTGTCAGTTTTTCCTAGCGATAAATATGCATATAACAAATATACTATCAAATAATTCAAATTTTGTAGGAGGTTCAGACAATAAATCTCCGCTTCTAAGAATCCCATGAAATGTTCCGAAAAAAAACTGAATATGCACGTGAAGTTCATAAGTTATGAAGAAATTTAAACGGCAATTGAAGTTTAATGTCGTATATCGTGATAAGATAATCTTCATTCCAAATTTAATACTCAGTCTATTCCAAATGCTTTACATTGAAAAGTTTTCACAAACGCTTTGAAAACATTTACTTGAAAATGCCGATGCTTTGCACATGCATGTGCACGGGCGTGACTTTTTCCGGAACTCAGTTTTGCTGCCCAAGCCATTTTCAAAGTTTTACAGTCATTGTTTTGAGTAACAGTTTGCGAGGCACACCTAAAAACGTATTCGAAAATTCGTAAATGTAAATAGATGTCTTCAATTTCAGCACAGAGTAGAAATAGAGAAATGTTTTTTAGTTTTGAACTTTTCAAGAAAACTTTGCTTGAGTGCATTAATAAAATCTCTATTTGCATATTTGTAGCTATTTTTTGAACAGTTTTTCACTTGATTGTGTATGAACAGGTTTGTTACTTGGCGCGCGGCTGCAATTTTCGACTGTTATTCAATTTTTTCGCCTATCACATACCAAGCATGGATCTGGAATCGAAGATGGGCGACACAGCCGTCTTTGCCATTGAGCACGCGGACTTGCAGCTATTGTATAAGCTGGTGGATTTGCTGTCAATCAAAATGAATGATTTGCATTTGGATAGCTTTAAGCTAAAGACGACCTCCCTCGAGCAGATACTGCTGAAGGCCATGATGCACAAGCATGTGAAGAACACTGAGTTTATGCAAAACCCATTGCCCATGCTGGCCAATCGCATACGTCAAGTCGAGGTGACGAGACTTTCGTCAAAGAAGAGTAAATTTCTGACCGATATTGCTCAGTTGCTGACCCACATCCGTGTGGTGCTGCGCAAACGATTTATTGTCGACATGCGCTGCTGCACCGTGCTGATGCTCCAATTGCTATTGCCCAGCGTTGTCTGCACGTGGTGCTTCATCATGCCGCACCTGGAGGAGGGACGCTACCAGCTGCCCACAGTATCAATGACAATGAACCATTTTCAGCACACGGTCACGTTAATGGCCCAACGAGCCCTATTGGAGCCGGTGCGTGCCGCAAGTAAACATTATCTGGAGCATTGCCACGCTCGGTCAGCGAATTATCGAAATCAATCCAAATTTGGAGATGGTCGAATACATCAGATGGTATACGGCAAAGAATCTAATCATGACCGATCTCCAATTTCGTTGTTGCCGCCATATTCAGCGATCAGACAGTCGAAGCGCTGTACAACAACAATCTAATGCACTCGGCGCCAATTAGCTTGAGTCTGGTCATGAACTCATTGGCCGTGTGAGTGCTCCATTCTGATCTCATTGTAATAGTGTCTCGTATTTTCTAATTGATCTAATTGATGTATAGGGCCTTTGTCAATCCCAAAGCTGGCATTAATGTGAAGCTCGAGCTGTTGCCCTTCTCCACCATGCACACGGTCTATATGACCAATGAGCTGAACTGCCTGGACTGGGTCATTTGGCTAACGTTGAGCTTCTGTTTCTGTTATGTTTGGTCAATGCCGCTGCTGGACTTTGGTCTGGGTCACGGTACGGCCTACCATCGCATTGAGGTTATCGGTGGCATGCGTTTTGGTACACTCAGCGTGGCGAACTTTATATATGGTGTCCTTGGGATAATCGCCAGCCTGATTCCATTGAATGCGGTCATTTTATACTTTCACAATTCACTGCCCATGGATATTTATGATAATTGTGAGTGATTAACTTTGCTCGATTCGATTTGAGACGAGTCGACTCTGCAACAATTCATTGAATTTTAACCACAGTCGCATTTCTCTATGTCATACTCATTGCGGGCGCTTGCGTTACGTCCATCAATATTCTGCTCTCGTACTGGCTGGCAAATCTGCGCGTTGGGTATATTGTAATCATAATATTTTACTCGATCGGTATCGTATTGTATTTGTCAAGTTACGAATGGCAGACAATACAATTTCATGGCCATGTCGGGGAACTCAACATATTTCCAATTTATGCGATGGTCAACAATCTGATGCGACTCAATAATATATCCGAAATAATTGATGTGTGCGCCGATGAGCAGACCTACAAGACCAGTGTACATCTGGAGCAGTGTCAGATGGTGCCAAATTGTTGTGGTAAGTGCTCAGAACTAATGCAATCCTCTTAAGACATCTAATATTTTCAACGACATGTGTCAAGTACTTTCGTCTGCACTCTTTAATATCGAAATTTCTTTGCTTAGAGCAAGAGCGCCGAGATGATCCATACTGGGAGTTTACATGGACTGCTTATCTAACTATGATATTGATATGGGGATTTATCTACATACGATTTGGTCTGAGCGTGGCAAAATTAAAGCCGCCCAGAAGTAATGATACCCTAAAGAAGGACATCGAGTAAGTAGGCCACCAAGTTAAGCTGCTATGAAATTTGCCCAACTTTTTTTATTTTCTCATCGTTATTACAGCCCCGACAGTTGCTTTGACCAAAGCATTCTTCACTTTACCAACGAGAATGAGCCCGACAACACGTGGATCAAGGAGAAGATACGTGTGCGTACACTGGAGCGTCCCTTGGTTAAGACCAAGGCGCTGCATGTCGAGAATTTGGCAGTGTTTTTTCGAACGCATGTAGTGCTCAATCATATCAACTTCTTGGTAGAACGGTACGTGAATGATAAATATAAAAAATATTAATAAGTATAACAAGGCTGCAAACGGACAAGCGAAGGCCTGTTAAGGTTGGCTTTGCCATTTGTAGCCATGATATATATTACACTTATATTTTTAATTTGCTATTGCTTTAATTTAGTTACCAAATCATGTCCGTGGTGGGTGTGAACGGTTCCGGTAAAACGGTGCTGATCAAGACGATTCTGGGCGCCTATCCCCCCAGCGCGGGCAGCATAAGCAGCTTTGGGAAGTACTCGTATCAGTACAGTGAGCACGATAACCATAAGCTAATTGGATATTGCGCACAGGACGATACGATCAAGGAGGCACTGACTGTTATCGAGTATTTGCAAATCGTACTGATCATACGTGGTCTGAAGAAGGCGCATGCCTTGGAGGAAGCGAAAAACTTATTACAGATATTCGATCTATATAACAGTCGATTCCATTTGCTGCCCCAATGCAGTCGAGGCGTGGTGAAGCGCCTGAGCCTTGCCATATCACTGATTGGTTATGCTGGGCTCATTCTAATGGATGATCCCTTTGCCTATCTGGATGTGAGCAGCCAGCGCAACATATATAGTTTGATTCAATCGCAGTGCTTCAACGGCCAGGCGGTGCTCTATACCAGCTCGGATCCCAAGTACTGCGACGTGGCCAACCGGACAACCCTGCTGAACCGTACGAACCTGTGCGTCATTGGTGACCGGGAGGATCTGCAAATGAAGCAGCTGGACGAGTATATTGTTATCAAGACACGTATTAAAATTGATGAGTTTCGAATGGAGTCTATGGATAAGGATGAGGCGCGACTTTCTGATTTGTCCAAATATCGGAACACCGACGAGAACAAGGATTACTTTCAGTTCTGTTCAATAATTGAACATTTCTTCCCTCATGCGATCATTAAGTAAGTTAAATAATGCATAACTATTCAGTGTATATGGTACATATATATGTATATATATTTCAGATCCATGACCAATCATATGGCCTGTTTCTGGCTATCGAAAAGAACGTATATGTCGGTGGCCCTGGAGACGTTGCACAAAAACAAAATATCTTTTTTCCATTCACGATCTGTTCACCTTTCCTCAAATCAATATTCTTAAACGTTGTGGGACAGCCGGGTCGAACTATTCAAATAATCGAAGACGAGGATATCTAATTTTTATATTTTTCATACGATTTTGCTGCTCTTTTTAGTTAGGCATAATAGGTAATAGAAAATATATCTAATACTAATGTTATATATTTCATAGGTTCAAGCACATATTCATCATGTTCCTTAATTCAGTTCAATTTCTGTACAAATCTTAAAAGCATTGGGGCTAACTTAAGTCTGGGCATATCCCAAATAAAGTACTCATTCTTCTTTTCCTATATTGTCTGAATCAAAAAGCTCTGAATATTATTTAACAGCGGCCAATGCTCTTTCAAATTTATTATGTACAAAACAATCCTAATCGCCTACACGACAGATGCCAACAATAATATGACTGGCGCATTTGTCAGACAAGTGTTTGTGGCCAAAACTGAAGACTAGAAACAAACTATTCCGGCATTGCTTCAACGTGACAGAATCAAAGCTAACAGACCGTACAATTGGCTATAAAGCTGACCCCAGCTGACCATACAAGTAATTGAGTTAAAATAATGAACCCACTTTTTCACAGCTAAGAATAATATGCAAACATGATAAAACAAATATGTGCGTGCATGTACATACTATATATAATAATATTAAGTAAGCACACGACTAGTCGACTTGCAGATACCCTATACTCTGTCGTAAAACAATTGTATTTCAAAACAATATTCTGTACCTGAGTATCTAAATACCCCGTTTGTTAAGCTATACCTAATCTAAACTATATAAATAGGAACGCGGATGTGAGCAAAAAAAACATACGTATATATCTCCCCATATAGCCACAGCTGCCTCGTGATAGAACTATGTTGTACCAAAGACTATAGAAAATGTACCAAACTCGGTTAAAATGAGTACAACCAATATAATAGCCAAGTAAGAGCGTTCTAGAATGTGGAACTATAGTAAAATAAAAATGCATATCATAACATATTTACGTAAAATATCTTATTGAGGACCATAGGAAAAAAGTACCATTTTGTATAAAAAAAATTCCAGTATATCATCAAAGTATACTTTTTAAAGTATACTATTATTGTTATTATATTATTATTATCATTATCATTATCAAAATCATTATTATCGTTATTATTATTATTCTTATTTATTGTCATTATTGATGTCATTATCAATATAATTCGACATTATTATTATCAATTGACGCCTTTGATTACTTTGTTAAGTTGGTCCATATTTATTGAATTATTCTCAGTAAAATAAGACAAACTGATATCTGCTTGCCAGGGTATTTTTTACGCGACGCTTGCAAAATTTCGTGAAAATGTGCAATTTTGTATTTTTTATAAGATTGCTGATAGGGTCTATTTAGATGTGAGTAAAAAATTATTCGAGTATTTGCAGCATACGAATGCGATTTTTGTTTGTTCTGCAATTTATTAATAGCATCGAGGCCCAGAGCAAGTGCAGCACTTGTACTCGGAGCAGAGAGCATGGTCCTCACATATGCATACAAATTATTTTCATCTGGTATATTTTCTATGTGCACAATTAGTCTGTGTGAAAAGGTTGAGTAAACTATTTGGAAGGCGCGAAAATATTAAAAAAAAAAAAAAAAAAGAACGGTGACAAAAACGAGTACATAAAAACGATAAAGAGAGACTTTGACGAATAAATCTCTGCAGGATTACACGAAATTGCAATATAAAAATGGTCTCCAGCCAGACAGCAACAGCAAATCGCGTCTTTTGGTTAGCAATATTATTCATCAGTTTGCTGCCATTGGGCACCCAAGAGGCCAGCCGTGACCTGTGCAAGGGCTCAGACGATGCGGCCGCCTGTGCTCAGGCGACCGAAGCTCTGGGCACGGGTCGCAAGGCAGCGCCCAAACGAGCCAAGTTTAAGTTCCATAAAATTCAGCGCATGGACGACGACGACGAACGGCGACACTGGCGATGATAACGAATCGGGCTGAAGACATGGCTGATGACAATGATAATGACGACGATGAGAACGAGAACGATACTGATAACGATAATGATAATGATAATGATGATGAGTCCAAGGCTGGCAATAGAAGACGGCAAGCTGAGGATAGATCTTCGATTGAAAATTATAGTGATAACGAACCGATGACGAAGACAAGACCGAACCGTCGTAATGAGTCGCATTTGGAACAGATTTGTTTGGGGCGAAGATGCTGCCAATGAGACCGAGACAGCTGAGGCACAGTATCCCAATGTGCTCAACTGGCTGCACTGGCTGACGGAGCCCACAGAGGAAGCCGCTCCAGTGGGCAAAAAGGAAAAGTCACGCAAACCGGTGAAAAGCGACATTGATTGGCTAACGTATTTGAAGCGCTGGCCCTTCAACAGCATCTTCCCGGAGCCGCCAGCGCAGCCCAGCGCCAAGCGGCGGCGCGAACGACACGGCAACAGCCCGGTTGACGGTGATGGCAGCGGCCCATCGCGGCCGCAGCCGCAGCCCAAGAGCGAGGAATATGTCGAGCTGCTGATACATTCGCTGCCCGCGTTTATTGGCAGCGTGTCCCAAGCGAAGAACGGCGATTGCCACCAGCAGCTGGAGCTGCTGCATCGCCAGCTGCGTGCGCAAGATGTGGACGTTGCAGAGTAGGAGCACATGACCGATCCCTAGCAGGGCTTAACTCTGATATAGCTATGATATGCCCATTTGCATTGCAGTGCTCGATGCCACGGCCAAAATTGGTGCCGGTCTGTTGCGCGGCAACATAAACCAGTTCGGGGACTATGACCAATGCACCAAGGTGTCCACGACGGTGAAGACGACCGCGTCCAAGAGTTCGATGCGCGTGCATGGCAAATACTGTTTGGCCCAAATCGAGATGCGATCGACTCTAGGCAGCCTCAAGGAGCCGCTGCATCTGCTGCATGGACGCGACCTATGGCACGCCCACCTGAAACATGTAGCTAGCCAGCAGCCCAGCTAGAATGGGATCTCATCTCTTATGATTGAAGTTCTATTGGTTTTCTATTTGGTTTTATTTTTCAGCCCAAGCACTTTGCACCACGCTACAACATCGCCAACTGGGGCATTTGCCTGCCGCACGCCTGCTCGCCCATGTGGTGCACAGCATTATTGAGACCAGTCTGCGCCCGTACAATGACACGGGCATTGAGTTCCACATCGAGGTGAGGGACGAGCACTGCACCACAAGGCAGCGAAAGAGTTTCACAAAGCTTTTGGCCAAGGCAGTTATTTGGCAACGGGCATGTGAGTTGGCAATCAAACTATTTGTGGAGCACTATGTAATCCGTTGCATAGATTAGGCATTGCCATGCTGGGCCTGATGTGTCTGTTGGCGCTCGCCTGGGAGCACTGGGACTGGATCAGTCACAAGCTGATGCGCCTGCACGGCGGCAACGAGGCGGACGCACAGCTGGCGGCAGCAGCGGCGGACAGAGTCGAGAATGTGTGTGAGCCGCCGGCCGCTGAGGAGCCGGAGCTGGACGAGACGGCAGCCAAAACAGAGGAGGAGCTCACGCCGCCGCTACATGTGCGGCTGTTGGGCGCCTTCGCGCCACAGCGCACTCTGGAGTCGCTAGTGTCGCTGACACATCCAGATGTTGAGTTCCCGCTGATACATCTGCTCAAGATATTGGGCACGCTCATGATCTATGTCAATCTCAAGTACATCATGGCCGGCCATTTGCCCTTGACGAATCGCGACGCATTCGTTGGCACTGTGAATCGCAACTGGAGCCTGGCGTACCGCATACCACTGCTCTACAACGACATGTTGCTCCTGATCGGTGGCTTCTTGGCCATCAGCTGTCCAATGACATGGAGCAAACGTGCCGTTTGAGCTTCCTGCGGAATGTCAGCTCGAAGGCGTGTCGCTATGTGCCCAGCATACTGGCGGTGGTCGGCTTCCAAACCTGGATACTGCCCCATCTGGGCAGCGGTCCGCTCTGGCATCTGCTTGTCGGCGAGAATGCCCGTCTCTGCGAGGAGAATATGTGGCGTAATGCGCTCAGTGTCCAAAACACTGGCGACCTCGAGGATATGGTATTGAAGTTGATTTCCTTAGCGCTAATACTATTCCAAAAGTGTACAAGCCAATTTGATTTCAGTGCTCGCCCATCACGGTCCAACTCTCATTGGATTTGCAATTGTACTTTCTGGGTGCACTCGTCGTCTGGCTGTACTTCACCGATCCAGAGGCTGGCTTTTTTCTCTGTGGCGCCTTTCATGCCATCTCCGTTGCGGCGCGATATTCACGCACTCAGCGAGATTACCTGGCACCGTCGCTCTTCCACGGCATCGGGTGGGTGTTCCATTAGATTTACGCAAAACTCATGCTCAAACTTTGTTGGCGAAAGCTGCACCCATTGTCAATTTCTAAAAAAAAGGCATGATATTTTTCTGCCCACGTATGTAAACAGGTGAGAGGAGGCACATTCGACTGCATCGAGTCGAGCAGCTGAGTCGGCTTAACCATGTCCATGTCCAGTCTGTCCCGTCTATGAGAGCTAGACGAATTTATTATATTTTGGCATAACGCATAACAGGCTCATAGTTATTTGATCGACAATCTTATCCTATGTCCCATAATATAGACAGAAATCGATTTTGAGAGAACTCGTAATGATGCCAGCTACTTAGATATGTAGAATACGCTGTCTGTCACTTATTGGGAAGACTTCTTACTAGACCCTTGAACTGTAATATTTACACAGCAGGATTTCATTGTCATTGCCCATCCCATTAACTTTCTATCTTAATATTGTCCAATCCCTCATACAAACGTCGCATGCTTAATGATTTTGTCATTTCAGTAATTCATTTGTCTAATTTTGTTGCTATTTATTTTTTAACTAATTATAATTGCTAATGATATTGGGTTTTCAATGAAAAGAATGCTTCACTACTATTTCTGTTGAATTTTTATCATTATTTCCTTATTCAATGGAAATGTTAATGGAATCAGTTATTCATTGTTAATACTTTTTCAATGATATTAATATACATTTTTCAATTTATTTGCTTTTTTGAACTATAATTAAATGCGAATTTCAATATGATTATTTTATTACCATTTCAATGATAAATTATTGTAATATATAATTTATTTATTTAATAATATTAACAATCATTGCTTTCATTCTAATGAAATCACTAATGCATTTGCAATACAAAAGTATATTAACCATATAGTTAATGCCTTAAACTTTCATCAAAGTCGGACTACGGCAACACACGTAACGGCAACTCGAGCCTGGATGCAGGGTATCAACTAGCCGGCGAGAGTACTCGGACTCATTTTCTTGTTGTTTTTTGTTTTTGTGTTTTTATTAACAGTGTCAGCAAATTTTACCGCACCGTAATCTTATTTACAACTCGCCAATCACGCGCAACCACTTACCTTTTGGGCATTGGCGCCGGCCTCCTATTCCGCAGCGAGTCCGGATCTTTTGGCGTTGTGCCACGCTTTCGGCGTGCGGGTTGGGCTCTGGCAATGCTGGGCATTGCCTGGTGCTTTTGGTCAGCCGCGGCGGGAATGCGCACCAAATTCGTATACAATGCGACGGAGGCAGCTGCATACCTGGCCTGGAGTCCACTAATACTTGGCCTCGGCCTATGCTGGGCCATTCTGATGGCGCCACTGGACAAAGGTCTGTTGCAGCGTTATCCAAACATTGCCCGTCCTGTGCTACTTCTGTCGAGAATGCAAATTCCGCTACAGCTGGCCAGCTATGTGGTCGTCCTGTGGAGCACGGCAAGCGTAAAGGAGCCCCATCAATTTCAAATCTCCGATTTGGTACGTAAATCTCTGCTGCATAATGCATCCAACTATATGCAACCCTTATGTTGGCTCCGCAGATAAGCCTACAGGAGCTGGTGTGCATTGTGTGCTTCGCCCTTATTGTGGCCTTATTGACTTGCCCGCCCAGCAAATAGGCTATATATTATTGGATATCATGTTTAGTGATGTTCTGCTATCGAGCAGCAAAGAGAACACAACTGTGGAGCCGTCGGAGGCGACACCATCGGAGAAATCACCGGATTCGCCAGAGCCCATCGAATCGATTTGGTCCTCTGAATCAGAGCCTGAGGAGGAAAAGTCCAACGACATTTAATGCTTCAATTATACTTATTGCATCTATGTATTTTTATTTCCATTAATTCAAGTTTGTCATTAATAAGCCAGATAGCCAGACTGAGCAAAACGAAAGAGTGTTTGCTTTATCCAGACTCGTTAGTCTGATTAAATCAAATATTCGCAAATTACAAATAGAAACTGTCAAATTTGGGAACTCTAGACTCAAAA